TCGTCCCACCACTGGGAGCAAGCAGGACATTCTCACCGCACCCGAGTGCCCGACCAGCCAGGCTGTTTTCTTATAAAGGGAGCTGCCCCCGGCCTTTGCCCTCTGCCGTGGGCCATCCACCCCACGGAATGCTCTGCAAACAACTGTTGACCGCTGGTCAGGGGTGTGGTGCACAGGGAGTGCTGCCACACAGGTCCTCGCTACCTTTGCTCTGAGAGGGTTGTGCTGGGTGCTCATGTCCACCAGAGGGTCAGACGGTGAACATGCCCAGCACCAGTGCTCTGAGGGCTACGGGGCCCAGTCCCAGGCTGCAGCAAACTGTGGAACTGTGGCTTCCACAATAGGGCACTTCTGTGGCACGCCACGCCAAGCTCATCAACCCTGGAAGTGGCGTCTCTGGGTCAGGGACGTGGTCAAGCCTAGCTTTGGTATCTGTGTCCAAAGTGCGTACGCTTGGCCACTGCTCCACACTGTTGGGATTGCCTTCCACTAATGGCCGCTCTAACAGTTCGTTTTAAAAGACAAGTGCAGCCCACCCTGCCCCAGTTCTGGGACTGGGACACACTGCTGATGAGGTCCATCAGCACGGTGTCTAGGACCCCGTCCCCCCAAAGCCTGAGGTGAGTGACACTGTGTGGACAAGCAGAACCTTCGTGAGAATTCTAGAAGCCACGTAGGAAGCCCCCCCTCCCCAGCAGATGCACGGCCCGGGGGGCACCAGACTGCACGGAGTCCAAGCTTTTTGCTTGCCTTTGCCCCTCCGTGTTGGGCAGAGCAAGAGCCACCCCGGGCCAAGGGGAGCAACCTCCCCAGAAAGTCGCGAGAGCGCTTGTCCGGGGGCTGCCCGAGACGGGTTTCTGTTGGCCTGATTTGGTGTGGAACAGGGGCAGTGTCTGGATGCCAGCCTGGTGGCTGTCGGAGCAAATGCAGGTCCGCGGGTGGGTCCGAGAGGGAGTTTGTGGGCAGTGGAAGGTTCTAGAAACAAAAGTGGCATGCTGCGTAGCGGGGCGCTGGAAGGTATTTTATGTTTTGCAAGATGAATCAAACCCTGGAGATGGGTCCCACGACAGTGTGAGTACTGACCACCACCGGAAACTGTACGCTTTGCCGCAGCTCAGACAGTGAATTTCAGGTGCTTACAATGAACTTTTTATAAAATCATTTCAAAAAACACTGTCATTCCACACCTATTAGCATGGCCCAAATCCAAGACACTGAGAAACCAAATGCTGTTGAGGACACAGACCATGGGAAGGCTGGGGACAGTGTGACGCTCGCTCTCAGAACAGAGACCCTCACCACATTACCCAGCGGTCACGCTCCTGGCGATCATACCCGCATGAGCCAGAAACTCACGTGCACGCGGGAACCTGCGTATGCATGTTACACAAGCTTCATTTTAACTGCCAAAAGCTGGCACCCAGCAAGCTGTCCGCAAGCAGGTGAAAGGGTCAACCGTGGTGCATGCAGGGAACGGGGTGAATGGATCCGGACTTGAAAGGCTACATCCTAGGTAGGACCCACCTACGTCATATCCTAGAAAAGCCACGGCTGCAGGGGCTGAGTAGGGAGTGCACCCCATGGGGCCGACGGTGCGGCGCAGTGAGGTGCTGTGTGCCTGGTCTGAGCCTCACTACTGCGTCCTGGGAGGCAGCAGATCCCGGACCAAGTGCTGGGGCCCAGGAGGGAGTTCCTGGGGCAGCCTTGGCTGTTGCGGGCATTTTGGGGAGTGAACCACAGAAGGAAGGTTTCTGTGACTATGCCTCTCAAGTGGATGAAAATACACATTTCTCTCCCTCTCTCTGAAGATTCACTTCTGAGAAGTGCCAGTGTGGGTCAGGGCGGGTCCATCGGTGCTAACAAGTGGACTACTCCAGCAGGGTGTTGGGGTGGCGCGGGCGTATGGGAGTTCTCTCTGCCTCTTGCTGAACACTGAGCGGACAGGGGACTGCAGAAAGCCGCAGTCAGGAGACGCCGCTGCCCAGCCACAGGCCGATTCTAAAGCTGGCTTAAGGCAAGGCCCAGAAGAACCACACGTGGGTCCCCACTGTGCAAGTGTCAACAGCGTATCAAACAGGACAAAAAGCAAAATGAATGTTTGCTGTTAGGAAAATATTCTTTTTATGGTTTAGCCCTTGACACCTGAAATCTATCAATTTCATTTTAACTGTGTTAACGCCACATCAAAACCCGAACAGGGGGCTGGCACTGTGGCGCAGCAGGTACAGCCACCGCCTGCAGTGCCAGCATCTCAAATGGGTTCAAGTCCTGGCTGCTCCACTTCTGATTGAACTCCCTGCTATTGTACCTAGGAAAGCAGTGGAGAATGGCCCAAGTGCTTGGGCCCCTGCACCCACGTGGGAGGCCTGGAAGAAGCTCCTGGCTTCAGTCTGGTCCAGCTCCGGTCACTGCAGCCATTTGGGGAGTGAACCAGCAGATGGAAGACCTCTCTCTCTGCCTCTGTATCTAACTCTGCCTTAGAGAGAGAGAGAGAGAGAGAGAGAGAGAGAGAGAGAGAGAGAGAGAGAGAGACCAGAACAGGAAGCCAATGTGCTTAGAAAGCGGCCCTCTCTATGCAGGTCCTGTCCGGCTGCCTGGGCCGGGCACCCATGGCACCTCCACCACGGCCGAGCTCAATGAGAAGTGGACCGCGCTGCCTGATGGAGCCACTGAGATGCAGTCGGTCTGCCGTTTCTGCACCCACAGAACTCACTTCTACTTGCTGATTTCTAACTTCAGGATTCCAGTTCTCTGAAAGAGCTTATTAACACTGCATTATTTTCCTAACCTCTCAAATCACTGTTGACCAGAAGTACGTCCTCACACCAACCCCGCGCGGTGGCAGAGGAGCCCGGGTCTTGCCCGGGTCAGCCGAGGGCAGCTGGGGGTGCAGAGCGAGGGGCCGGGGGCGGGCCTGCCAGCTGCTTCCTAAGGAGCAGACAGAGCCAAGGTAACCCTCAGGCTGGCTCGGAAGAAGGAAGAGACGCATTCGCTTTGTATTAAGGAAAAAAAAGGAAACAAGGTTAAAATGAAGTTTATTATTTTTTTGATGTTTTGGCTTTTTTTTTTGGTTTGTTTTTTGTTTTTTTAAATAAAACTGTTTGTGAAACAGCTATTTTATCCCCATGGCAGAGTGACCCCTGAAAGATGCACTAACCCCTTCTTAAGGCCTTAACAAGATTTTTTTGTACTTTTTCTTTTTTTTTTAAAACTCAGATATTTAAAAATTATACAATTTACAAAACAAAACAAAACACAACATAAAAAAAATCACATAGTATCGGGCTGCCCCCTCTTCTATAAAAATGAAAGCGAACAGAAACAAGGGTTAAGCGGGTGCTCCTGGCCACTCCCCGTCACCGCCTGCTCCGTCTCGGGGCAGCAGGGCCTCTGCCGAGGAGTCGGCCCGACGCTGCCCCTCGCTGCAGCGCGTGGGCCCCTCAGCAGCCAGCGCCCCAGGACACGGCCACCACTTCAGGGCATCTGCCAATTCCACCCCAAAAAGGATTTTACAAATGCAAAATAATAATAAATAAATAGTGTTTCTGGAAATGAAAAAATTTATTTTTGTGTTTAAACATCATTTCCTCACTTTTGAAAACATGGACCGTCCCCACTTCCTCCCCGAAACCTCCCACTTGGAGAGCAACAGCAGGGAGCGGGCAGGCCGGGCGCCGCCCACCTGCCCGCCCAGCCCTGGGTCTGGTGTCCTCTGAATGTGTGGGACAGGCTGCGGGACAAAGCCACACCCCTCCCCGCCCTGCGCGAGATGAGAGTTGGTTCAGTTCAATTTCACATTTAAATTTCACTGTCATCGGAACAAATTTGGAGTTCTTTAACTAGATAATTTTAAAATAGAATCAAAAGGGATAGCGCACCTTTCATTTAAACCAGGTCTTTCCAGACTAAAAATAGATTTATATATATATATTTTTATCACTCCCTTTTAATTCCCCCCACCCTTTCCCCTTCGCCCCCCTCCCCCCTCCCCCCACATTGTCACTATGGAGATTGTGTCCATGGAAACAGCCATTCCAACATTTTGGGTCTGTCTTTCCTGCGGTGCCACCAGTTTGCGTGTGATGTGAGAACTTAGGAGGGAAGTGCTGGCATGGCAGGCACGGCGGGGCGGGCGGGCGGGCGGGGCGGGGCGTGGCTGCACAGTAGGAAGATTTCCACTCCATCACAAGTGTCCACCACCTTCTCATCTCCACAGTCTCACCTGGAAGACAACAACAGGTGCTGAGTGCACGGTCCCCTCACCAAACAGCCCCTGCTGCCCGGTGGCCTGGGGTGGGGCTCTGGGCAGGAGCCCCGCACTCAGAACCTCTGGAGATGCGCTACGGCAGGACACACCCAGGGGGGCCTGGAAGATGAGAGGCAAAGCGCCCTAAGTCAGCGGGGGCAGGGGTCCTGCGGGTGGGCTTGTCTCAGAGGCGGCTAAGGCTGCCAGCTGACCCGTGTCTGCCACAGCTCCTCCAGGGGACACAGCCAGCTCCTTACGCTCCACGAAGAACCTCCCTCCCAGGGTCTCCGCTCGTGTTCTGAGCTCAGTCCGCCTGCCCCCAACCCCACCAAGCCCCGGGAGGGGGTTCTATGACCCTGGTGGGGTCGATGGGTCAGCTCAGGGCCTACAGAGACCTTCGTGGGCACCCGTGTGGTAAGTCAGAGTGCTTCCTAGGTATCCAGCCCAGAACTGACCCTGGAAGCCAGGGATGGCCGCCCTGGCATGCAGCACAGGTCTTCACTGCTGCGTGTGGGAACCCTCGCGTCCCCAGACTCCCTGCTGTCCTCCTCCAGCTCCCCGGGGGCCAGGCCCCCCAGACTCCCTGCTGTCCTCCTCCAGCTCCCCCGGGGCCAGGCCCCCCAGACTCCCTGTTGTCCTCCTCCAGCTCCCCCGGGGCCAGGCCCCCCCAGACTCCCTGCTGTCCTCCTCCAGCTCCCCCGGGGCCAGGCCCCCCAGACTCCCTTGCTGTGCTTCTACCTCTCCCCCGGGACAGGCTCACCATCCTTTCTGCTTCCAATAGACCTCACTAGGGAGGCAGGCACAGGCCAGGCCCGTGCGCGTGTGCTGTCTCACCCGGCTTTGCCAGAGGAGGCCCCTAAGTGCTCGGCAGACACCAGTAAGCAGGAGAGCAGCTGGGATTTCAGCCGCGAGGCCGGGGATGCAGCCCTGGCGTCCTGAGGGGGCTGTGGGGCCCAGCAGCCTCCCTAGCCCCTGTGGGCCAGGTCTCCGCTCAGGCCGGAGCCCCTGCCTTGCAGCCCAGGGAGAGGGGAAGAAACAGCATCACACTCTGGGCCTTGTGCCTCTCAGATGCCACCCCAGGTGAGCAGGCCCTTCGGAAGTGTGCTAAGAAGGGCTGAGCTAGCGGGCGCCCCTGCAGGAATGACCAGAAGGGAGGAACCTCGCTGTGGATGGGGGATGCCTCTGCCAGGGGAGCGAGCACACAGCGGCGGCTGCCCCTCCTCCTCACCCCGCCCTGCCCCCCTGTGCACCGATGGGCCCTGGTGGCCCTGGGGATCCACCTGTCAGCCTTCCCTACAGACAGCAGCTTTCCCAGGTTCTGCTGATTAGGCGACCTGGACCCACGACCTGAATGCACTGGCCCGGTGCTCTCCAGGGGTACTTTTGGAAGATTTATTTATTTGAAAGGCAGAGTTGGGGGGTGGAGGGCAGAGAGACAGAGGAGGCCTGCGTCTTCAGCTGCTTTCCCAGGTGAAACAAGCAGAGAGCTGGATTGGAAGTGGAGCAGCCGGGACTCAAACAGGTCCTCATACGGGTGCTGGGGTGCTGGCCCCTCCACAGTTACTTTTAAGATCTCTCTGTCTCTGCCTCTCTCCCTAACTCTGACTTTCAAAATAAACAAACAAGGGCCGGGCTGTGGCGTAGTGGGTAAAGCGGCTGCCTGCAGTGCCAGAATCCCATATGGGTGCCGGTTCCAGTCCCGGCTGCTCCACTTCCCACCCAGCTCCCTGCTGTGGCCTGGGAAGGCAGTGGAGGATGGCCCAGGTCCTTGGACCCCGCACCTGCATGGGAGACCCGGAGGAAGCTCCTGGCTCCTGATAGTGCAGCTCTGGCTACTGTGGCTAAATGGGGACCTCTCTTTCTTCTCTCTGCCTCTACTTCTCTGTGTAACTCTGCCTTTCAAATAAATAAGTCTTTAAAAATAAATAAATAAATCTTTGAAATTAAAAAACAAAAACCAAAGTCTGGCTCCTTCAGTCGGGAGGACGGCCCTGACCCGAGCCGGAGGTTCCAGGCCCGTTTCGTTTCCGAGTGACGGAGAACCCCGACCCCGTCCTCCAGATGAGGAAGCCGAAGCGCAGGCAGGTGATCCTCGTGGCCAGAGCCACACGGCTCATCAGAGGGGGCCGGGCTAGCGGTCAGCAAAGATCTCCCACAGCCCAGTACCCGGGACATGGCTGAGAGGAGCCCAGAGAGCTTGTCAGCCGGCAGCCTGGTGCTCGGTGACTCGCGCTCTCCAGAGGCACCTCGGGCAGGTGTGTGCACGGCCCGTGTTCGCGCGGCACCCACACCTCGCATCGAGGGCCTCCCGTGAGCCTGGCTCCACTTTTGATCCAGCAGATCACTCAGGTCCCTGGGTCTCCGGCACCCATTTGGGAGACCCAGGTGGAGTTGCAGACTCCCAGGCCCAGCTGTCCCAGGCATTTGGGGACATGAAGACCTCCCCTCCTCTCTCAGCAGCTGCAGGGACGCTTCTTGGGCCAAGGCCTCCAGCCCCCCCACCCCACCCCGCGTGCTTGCCCTGCCTTCCACCCTGTGACCTGGACCTGAGCACCTTTTACGTTCCTCCCACGCCGGACATCTCCATCTCCACACCATCTCTCCCGGCCAGGACCCGCCCAGGCCTACCTCCTCACGGCCCAGAACGTGGGACTCCCCCCGAGGGGGAGGGCGTAGAGGGAAATCTCATCTGCAGAGATGTGGAGTGCAGGGACGGGGCCAGATCCTCCCAGGACAGCGCGAGGACCATGGGTGTCGCTGCCCACATGCAGCTTGGTCTACGGAGGGTGGGTGATGCCGGGAGGGGGCGATTTAAAGAGGGATTCAGGGCGGGACTGAGACAAGGGGCACGGGGCACAAGCACAACCTGCACAAGCAGCTCCAGGGAATGCTGGGAGCTGGGACTCCTGCAGACCCAGGGCAGGGCTCTGAGCACCTCTGAGTAAGGACAGGACTGAAGGACGTCTCGCGAGGACAGAGCTTGCTGCTCAGGGGCAGCCGCCAAGATCCACAGGAGGCCGGGCAGGGGCTGGGGGACAGGTCCCAGTCCCCTCAGGAGGTGCCAGCCTGGGAAACGGAACGGAGAGCCGGACGTGGCGCTGGCTCCTGGTGGGCGGGTGTGTGACTCCCGTCTGCACCTGGCTCGGCCTCCTTCCTGGGCTGTTCTGTGAGGGCAGTGGCAGTGCCTTGCAGCCAGGACAGAGTTATCAGCCTCCCACCCCTTGGATCACAGGGGCCACCGAGTTTCCTGCGTGACAAGACAGGGAACAGGGTACAGAGGCCCCGATGTTGGAGCCCTGCCCACCAGCTACGTGGAAACCAGGGAGACAGTGACAATCCCAGCACAAGGACGGTGTGGACACCCATGGGCCAAGCTGTCCAAGGACGTCTCTGGTGTCACTGGTCTAGTGTGGGCTCGGTGCTGGGTACATCACACGCTGGGGAACGGCCCGCTCTCCAGGGTCCCATCTGTGCCTTGATCTCCCAGCCCCGCCACAGAAACCTGACTGGACACGTGACCGCCGGGGCCTCGGCCCAAGCCAGACCACGCCAGCAGGGTCATTTCCCGAGAGAACCCTTGTACAGAAGAGGCTGAGGCAGAGCCAGTGTGACCCCGGCCAGGCGCACACCTGGGGAGTGGGGCACCAGCGCACACCCACTGTGCCTTCCCTGTCTCGCTGGGATTTCAGATAACCACAGCTCTGTCCAGCACAGGCCACACGAAGGGCACTCACTGAGGGCAGGTGCACCTCTGTCCCTGCTCACCGGGGCTTCGGCACAATCCCACGGCACACCCTGGGCAGAGGTCACTCCGATGAGCTGAAAAACCACGAAAGCTGCCTCCTGGCGGGAGTGCACAAAGAAAGCACTGCATGCGGACAAGACTGACGGGACGTCTGTCCTTCCCTCCACGAGGTGCACGGCCCCACCTCACGGGACTGAGACTGCCCTGTTCCAAAGGGCAGGCCATGCGATCGCCCTGTGCCTCAGCCCTGGGAGGCGTCAATGGTGGGGCTCACTGCTGTCACAGGAGTCTGGTGGGCTGGGAGGGCCCCAGAGCGAGAATGAGGGGGAACAGAATCCCCACAGATCTGCTCACCAGGCCCTCACCTGCTCTTTTTCTCCAACACAGGCTGGCATTCTGAGACAGAAGCAGCCAGCACCGAACAGTGACAGCTGTCCAGACCCTGGTCTTCAGGCCCAGGGGAAGAGGCAGGGCCTGCGTGGGCAGCGACTCGCCAGCCCAGGAGCACAGGCGGCCAACAGAATCAGCAACACGGCCGCTGCCTTGCCCGAGGGCTGATCAGGCAAGCAAGCAGGCCCGGGAAGGCCCGTGGAGGCCTCAGGGGTCTGCGTGCTCGTCTGGTTCCTGCGCTCCAAGGACACGGCGATGATTTCCCAACCATGTCCCGCTCTGCACAGACCCTCCTTGGCCAACCCTACTCCCTGGAAGAAGGAAAGAAAAAGCAAGGCGCTCACTGACACCTCTACCATGAAGGCACCAGGGAGCCCCTCGGCCCATCTCACAGCGGGCCTCTCAGAACAGGAAAGCGGCCATATTCTGAGACGAATTTGGTTTTTCCCTAAAATCACTGTTGGGTGTGTCAGAGAAAGGCAGAAACTTCCAAGGGGAACAGCGGGGACACGCTGCTGCCCTCAGGGGGCAGGTACGGGGGGCTGGGGGCTCAGACCCTGGAGTCCAAACAGCAGCCCTCCTGTGAGAACACATGAGCCCTCCTGAGCGGTTCTGAGAACCCTACCCAGCCCAGCCCCTAGAAGCAAGCCCCCCACTACATTGGGGTTTTCCTTTTCTCCTCCTTCTCTCCGAGAGGCTCAGCAAGGCTCGCGTCTGCTCTGATGCCCTCTCAGCACAGCCAGCCCCACTCTGGGTCGCAGGGCTCAACCTCTAGAGATTTCTAGAAGGAAAATTAAATTAGACCCTGAAGTCTACTAAACCTGAGAGGACTTTTCTTTCCCTCTGTACTTCTTCTTGACAGGCAGAGTTAGACAGTGAGAGAGAGAGACAGAGAGAGAAAGGTCTTCCTTCCGTTGGTTCACCCCTCAATGGCCTCTACGGCCAGTGTGCTGCGCTGACCCGAAGCCAGGAGCCAGGTGCTTATCCTGGTCTCCCATGCGGGTGCAGGACCCAAGCACTTGGGCCATCCTCCACTGCACTCCCGGGCCACAGCAGAGAGCTGGACTGTAAGAGGAGCAACTGGGACAGAACCAGCGCCCCAACCGGGACTAGAACCCGGTGTGCCGGCACCGCAGGCAGAGGATCAGTCTAGTGAGTCGCAGTGCCGGCCATCCCTCTGTACTTCTATAAAAAGGAGTCATGGCGGCCAGTGCTGTGGCCTGGTGGGCTCTCCGCCTGTGGCACGGGCATCCTGTATGGGCACAGGTTTGTGTGTCCTAGATGCCCTTCTTCTGACCCAGCTCTCTGCTGTGGCCTGGGAAAGCAGCGGAGGGTGGCCAAGTGCTTGGGCCCCTGCACCTGCATGGGAGACCTGGAAGAAGCTCCTGGCTCTTGGCTTTGGATCAGCACAGCTCTGGTCGTTGTGGCCATCTGGGAGTGAACGAGCGGATAGAAGACCTCTCTCTGTAACTCTACCTCTCAAATGAATAAAATCTTGGGGGTGGAGAAGGAGTGGGGCTTCAAACAGCAAAACCTGGAGAATTTTGTGCTTTTCAAAAGAAAACACTAAGTTCTACAAAAATGCTGACGATGGAAGGAGCTCTCTGGCTGGAAGCTTTCTTGAGGGGGCAGAGCAGAGGCGCCTGGCGAAGCCCCCTGCCCAGAAGCGGTCACGCTCTGCCCTGAAGGCTGACTCCAGGGAGGGGCAGCCGGACCCCAACCCCAGGCAGCAGGACAGGTCTGAAGCCATCACAGCCGCCCGCAGGTTCCGTGCAGAGCTAAGTAACAAAGGGAAAGCCATTTGCCCACCTAGTGTTCGTCATCCACGCAGTTCAGTGCCGGCGGCGCGGCCTGGGGTGAGCAGGAGGCAGAGGCCACGACACCCTCGGGGCCAGGCAGGGGTGACGGCGGGGGCCCGGCCGCCCGACTCACCTGTGCTTGCTGTCCTTTCCATTCCCGCGAGCACACCGCCCCCCTCACCCCCGCTCCGACTGCTCTGTGCTGAGGCTGCCTTTCGCGGTCTTGTTCTGCAAGGGGGGGAGAGGGCACGGGAGGGGAGGCTGACAGCAGCACAGCAACAGCAGTGAGACAGGAGAGGGAGGGAGGCGGACAGGTGAGGACAGGAAGGGCACACGGAGAAGGAGAGAAAAAGCAGTCAGTGCTGAATGACAAACAGGAGACTGAGTTCAGACAGGCCTCTGAGGCAGAATGGGATGCCTGGTAACAGAACACAATCTCAGGAAATCCAAGGAAGCGTCTCAGGAGTCCTGAGCCCTCCGGGGGACCTCTTTCTGGTACCTTCTGGCCCTACTTTCTGGAGACTGAGGCCTGTGAGCAGCCAGTGACCACCAGGTGTCAGTGTCACCTCAGTGGGAAGAGACAGTGCCGCCCAGACAGGGCTCTGGCTGCACCCCGCCCTCTCCCCGCGCACGCAGCACCTCAGGAACAGGCCGTCTACCCCCCCTCCCCCTCCCCGGAAGGAGGAGTCAAGAGGCCAGTCCTGCTCAGAAGCAGCAGGCTCATAGCTGTGCCCCGTCAGGCCTGCCCAGTGACAGCCTGGAAGGACTGAGTCTCCTGGAGGCCTACAGTCTGGGAAACGCCTTTGCTTCTGCATCGGGCCCAGCGCTGGCCCGGCCACACGCCAGCTCCGTCAAACTCAAGTGCCAGTCAGCAGTGACTAGCAAGTACAAGAGTGGGGTCGTCTAGCTCAATGCCCTCGTGCCACAGAGGGTGCTGACCCCTGGACAGGTCTGCCTGCAGCGCCAGCTTCTCACTCCCAGGAGCAGGAGGGGCCGCAGCCCAGGGCGCTGCTGGCAGCACAGGGGCTCGGGCCGGACTCACCTTGTGCTTGGGGCACCTCACCGAGAAGTTCTCTTCATGCAGCAAACAGTCTACAAGGCAGAAGGAGACAGTCAGGGGCTGCTCGTGCGCACCGCAGGCAGGGACGACACAGAGGCCGAGGCCCAGGGCGATTCCCACCAGGAGAGCCGAGAGGCCACAAGTAAAGGACAGCACATAAACCAGAACATACAAACGTCTCCAGGATACTCACAGTCTTGGTAAATGTTCTCTATACATAAAAAAAGAAGACTCAAGGAAACATGCCAAAATATAACAGTGGTTCTCTGTGGTTATTAAGATTACAGGTAGTTTTCTCTTACGTCCACAATGATATATTATTTTGATAAGAGACAATTTCTATTAAATGTTCTTAAAATCCTTGATTCTAGGCGAAGGCCATTCCAGAGACCCAGGCCAGCACCTCCCTGTAAAATGTCCTCTTTGCTGGAGAGGGTCCAGGTTTCCCAGACGGAGAGAAGCCAGGCCCGAGGCCCCACCGTCACCTGCGTCGTACAACCACGGAGGCACAGATGTCCTGGCATGGACCACATAATCCTCGCTAAATGCTTCAGAAGAAAGCATGACCCCACGACGGGACTTCTACTCCTGAGGAAAAATGATCCAGCTTTTCCCACGGCGACGACACCTCGACAACAGCAGGGGTGAGGTGCCTGCGGGTGCGTGGGGCCCTGCGGTGTGTGGAGCGGGTGAGGAGACCTCATTACTGAGTTCACGCCACACACCGCAGCTGCTGGAGACCGACAGCCTGGTCCCTGGTGCAGGCCGTGGTGGCAGAATGTTAATAAATATTGATCACACATTCTCAGAGCTCCCAGGCCCCTCAGCGGGAGGCAGCCGTGGCACTGGCCCTTGTTAGGTTGACGATTTAACTCGGGCTTCAGCTGAGGCCCTGATCAGCAGCCTGGGCACCCACAGATTTCACGTGGAACAGTGGGAAGCAAAGGAGCTCACAAAGGAAAACCTTCAGGTCTTCCGGATCCTCAGCAAATCAGAAAAGGCGCCTCCTTCTCCTCCTAATGCGGCGAACCCTGTCACAGCGCTACCTGCCTCTTGAACTCCTGAATACTTAAGAGGCTGGGCAGGCGCCTGTTCTGCTTACAGGCCTGGGAACTCAGCAGGCAGCCGCCAACCTCCAGGCCCCTCCCCCAGCAGACAACTCACAGTAAATGAAATGTGTTAATTTAAAACCCACAAGTACACAGCATGACCAAGACTCCCGCTGCTCCAATCTGCCAGAAAGTTCATGAACGTAGGAGATAGACAACTGGAGCTCAGGGCAGCACTGTCTCTTCACCTGGCTGGAGCAGCATGGTGCTGGCCAAAGGCCTTGGTGCCTCACCCGTGGGGCTTGGCCACCCCGATGCCACAGGGCTTTACAGAACCAAGGAAGGGGACCACGCCAGTGGCAAAGGGCTCCCTCAGAAAGGAACAGGTGGCTCGGTTTCCGCTGAACCATTATAAAGCACGTCTCTAGACAGGACACACATTCCCTCCCAGCCAAGAGCACAAAGGCAACAAGGCAGTGGAAGCACACACTACAGGCAACTTGCGACCAGGGCCAGGTTCTTGTGAAACAGTCGTCTGCTACAGGAATCTGCCAGACAGTGGAAGCAAGAGACACGCAGGAAGGGCACAAGCACTCCTTCCTGTTCTCGTCCTTCCCCACGGGCCGCAAGGATTTGGAACTCCCGTTTCTGGCAACGGTTGAAACTACAGCTGGAGGGCTCAGGCACCCAGGGCACCGGGAGCCTCTTCTTGGCTATGTCCAATTTGGCCCTGCTCGGGGAGACCAGAGAACAGCAGGATGTGTGGCAAATTCTCTCAGGGCCCAGCACTACCCAACACTGACCAGAGGGGCTCAGTCAGCACATCTAACCGGCGTGGTAAAAGGAAACAGCTCTCTGATCACCACACCAGCCGGGAGGAGGGAAGGGTTTACTGGCCTTCGGATCTGCCGGGAACTTGACCCTGTCCCCAGCTCAGCTACAATCTTCCTGGATGTCACCATTACTCCCAACACTGGCACACAACACAGGGCAGGCCACGGTGGCCGCCAGCCCCCTCCCCTGCTGAAGGGCACGAGTCCAGCATGGGTGCTGCCTTCTGTGGCGCAGGTCGCTGCCCACCAGAGTTCCACAACGACCCACTCAGGGCTCCGGGACCCCATGACTCCGAGGGCAGCCGCAGCAAGTGGGATTCCAGCCGTGCTTGCTCCCAAGAGGAAAGGAAAGCGCCTGCGCAGGAGAGGGCACAGTGGGACTGCCGTGAGTGACCACAGCCCTCTCACCTCTGTCTTCACTGCTGGGGTCCATGGCATTAAACACTTCAAGCAAAGAGTCTAAGCTAAGACTAATGTCCTGATTCCTGCTCTGCTCCTACAGCCAGACCTGTGCCCATGACAGAGCCAGCATCACGGAACAGCTCACGTGACAGCAGAGATGCAGATCAGCTTCAGGTCGGGGAGTGGCAGGAGCCACAGACCGTCTCCATGGAGACATCCCAGCAATACAAGTTTTCCCAGAGACAGCAAAGCTCACTGAAGGCAGAGATGAAAATGCTAAACTGCTCTTTACTGCAAGAGACCAGGGACTTATTTTATGATCAGAGCGTCGCTCAAGGAACACCTGTCCTGGACACGAAGACCCATCTTACAGAACAGAGCTCCTCACAAGGCTGGGTGACCACAAGCACCCACACCCACAGAGCAGACACCGCAGGAACCAGGGTGCCATGCACTGCTTGAAGCTGCTCCCCTGTCCCAGCTCTGCACATGGGGCAGCAAAGCCACAGGGCCAAGAGCTTGCCCTTGACCCAGAGTCTCCCTCTCACTGAATACTGGGTCACCAAGTTCTGCGACCAGCTTGGGGTTGGCGCTGTGGCGTAGCGGATAAAGCCATTGCTTGTGGTGCTGGAGTCCCACAGGGTGCCAGTTCCAGTCCCGGCTGCTTCACTGCCCATCCAGCTCCCTGCTAATGCACCTGGGAGAGCAGTGGAGGATGGCTCAAGTCCTTGGGCCCCTGCACCCACATGGGAAACCCAGATGGAGCTCCTGGTTCCTGGCTTTGGCCCGGCCCAGCCCTGACTGTTGCGGCCATTTGGAGAGTGAACCAGTGGATGGAGGACCTCTGTTGGCTTCTCCTTTTCTGTAATTCTTTCATTGTGCCCCAGGCATGCTGAGCACCAGCTGAACAGGTGCCCAGCTCACAACAGCAAGGCTGCCCTGCTCCTGGGCCCAGTTTTTCTCAAGGGTTGGGGCAGCACAGTTCAGGAGAACGTCCTGTGATGACAAGAATGCTCTAGGGCCAGTGCTGAGGAACAGCAAATTAAAAAAGAAAAAAAGCTGCGCCGGCAGTGCCAGCATCTCATATGGGCACCGGTTCAAGTCCCGGCTGCTTCACTTCCCAGCCTTCACTTGTTTGCTATGCCCTGGGAAAGAAGCAGAAGATGGCCCAAGTGCTTGGGCCCCTGCATCTGTGGGAGACCCGGAAGATTCTGGCTCCTGGCATTGGATCAGCGCAGCTCCAGCCATCATGACCATCTGGGGGTGAACCAGTGATGGAAGCTCTCTCTCTCTCTGCCTCTCTGTAAAGCTGACTTTCAAATATATAAGTAAATCTTAAGAGGGAGCGAGGGAGGGAGGGAGGGAGGATGAGAGAGTATGAATGCAGGCTTCAGAAAAGGATCCATGAGTTCAATGTGGCCACTGAAATACAGCTACTGAGACCGAAGAAATGAAATGTACTTTTAAACTGAATTCGAGCGGCTCTGTGTGGCTAGTGGCTGGCCAGCACAGGTGCAGAGCCGGCTGGACAAGCTCGGGCAGCACAGCTGTGACGCACTGGGGAGGAACACCCTCTCCCCCGACACAAGCTTGCCCTGGCTGTTGTAGGAATTTGGGAAGGGAAATGGCAGGTGGAAGATCTCTATCTCTCCATCTCTCTGCCTTTCAAATAAAACGAAAATTAAAAAAATATATTTTAAAGTATACATTCAGGTCATCTTACCTAGCTGTTGGCACAGAGCTCCAAAGACCATTTTAAGTTTCCCAAGCACCAGGGGTGTTAGGACTATCTCTTGTCCTGATATTTGGCTCTTTACCTGGGTTCCTGACACAGTTATTAACCTTCTTGAATTTTCTGAGTGATCCATGTCTTTAACTCTAGTGAGGGGAACCCCTGGTGGGCTCCTGAATGGGGCTGGTACCAGAAAGATGAAGCCATGATTAAGAGCTTGGATCCTGGCTGGCGCCATGACTCACTTGGTTAATCCTCCACCTGCTGCGCCAGCACCCCGGGTTCTAGTCCCGGATGCTCCTCTTCCAGTCCAGCTCTCTGCTGTGGCCAGGGAGTGCAGTGGAGGATGGCCCAAGTGCTTGGGCCCTGCACCCGCATGGGAGACCAGGAGGAAGTACCTGGCTCCTGTCTTCAGATCGGTGCAGCGCCGGCCGTAGCGGCCATTAGGGGAATGAACCAACAGAAGGAAGACCTTTTTCTCTGTCTCTCTCTCACTAACTCTGCCTGCCCCGCCCCCCAAGAGCTTGGCTCTTTCAGCTCTAGCCTTCTTTCCCCAGGAAATAGCTGATAACTGACCACACTTATGTGCCGAGGCCTCCATGAAGATCTCTGCTCCATGGGCTTGGAGAGCTCCGGTACTGCGCAACACACACGGGTGTCTGAGGGCGGCACCCTCCCCACGCACCTGGCCTATGTACCTCCTCCATCTGGTGTTCCACCTGTTTCACGTCCAACACAGGGACATTCCTCTGAGTTCTCCAGAACATTCATCAGACCCAAAGAGGGGGTGTCGGGCAACCTACTGATAACTGCTGGTCACTCGCAAGTACACATCACAACCTGGGGCTTGCAAATGGCACCCAAAGGTGGAGGAGGCACTCTTCTGAGCCCTTCAGTGTGTGGGATCTGCACCAGCTCTGGTTAGGGTCAGAACTGAGTTAAGCTATAGGACAGCTGACTAGTATGATGTGCTGGGACAAATTCCCACGTGTCTGGTCACAGAAGCATGTGAAGCTGTGTTGAGGGATGGCATGGCAGGAAACTTGGCTTCTGCTACCTCACACAGGCTGTGGTGACAAAAACACCCAATAAACTCGCACCAGAAGGGAGCTCCCTTGGCTGTCAAGACCACCTGTGGGGGCCAGTGCTGTGGTATAGGGGCGACGCTAGCATCCCATATGGATGATGGTTCGAGTCCCGGCTGCTCCATTTCCGATCCAGCTCTCCCTGTTAATGTGCCTGGGAAAGCAGTGGAAGACGGCCCAAGTACGTGGGCCCCTGCCACTCATGTTGGAGACTGGACTGAGTTTTGGGCTCCTGGCTTAGGCCTGGCCCAGCCCTAGCAGTTGTGGCCATTTGGGGAGTGAATCACGGGATGGAAAATTGATCTCTCTTTTTCTCCCTCTAACTCTGCCTTTCAAATAAATAAATCTTAAAGAAAAAAAAAAGGAACATCTATGAAAAACCCACAGCTAATACCGTATCTAATGGATCAGGAACAAGATAAACCTGTCAGTTCTTGACCCTTCTATCCAACCCTTTACTGGGGGTTCTAGCTAGGACAACGAAGCAAGAAAAAGAAACAAAAGGCGTCAGATGGAAATGGAAGTAAAGTTATCTCTACTCCTAGATGACACGACCTTGAATACAGAAATTCACTAAAGACTATAAGAACTAAACAAAATGAGCAAAGTTTCGGAATACAGACTAATATACAAAAATCAACTGTATTTCTTTTTGCTTTGGTTTTGTTTCTTTTTAATTAGTTTTTTTTTCAAGGTCTTTTTTAAATATATATTTGGAAGTCAGAGTTACACAGAGAGAGGAGAGGCAGAGAAAGAGAGAGGTCTTCCATCCAATGGTTCACTGCTCAATTGACCGCAACAGCTGGAGCTACGCTGATCCGAAGCCAGGAGCCAGGAGCTTCTTCTGGGTCTCCCATGTGGGTGCAGGGGCCCAAGGACTTGGGGCCATCTTCTACTGCTTTCCCAGGCCACAGCAGAGAGCTGGATCAGAAGTGGAGCAGCTGGGTCTCGAACAGGCACCCATATGGGATGCCAGCACTTCATGCCAGGGTGTTAACCCACTGGGCTACAGCACCGGCCCAATTTTAATCAGTTTTTAACAGATTCAGTGTGCTTTTGTAAATATTCCAACCCTCCCTCCCTTCTTTCAACTGTATTTCTAAACATTCACAATGGACAATCCAAAAGCTAAGAAAATTATTTGAATGCTACTATAACAACACTAAAAGTAGAATACTCTGTAACAGAAAAAGTATGAAGTAGGAAACAAACTCTGAAAACTACAAACACTACAAGAAAACAATACTGAACAATTCTAAAACAAGCAATACTAAAAGACATTAAAACTAAAGTAAAGTCATCCACAATCAAGGGCTAGAAATCATATTATTCAGATGACAACACTGAGCTATAGATTCAATGGAATTCCTATCAAAATTTTAATAGCCCCCCTTTGTACAAATAGATTAGCTGATGTTGAAATTCATATGGAATGGCAAGGGATCCAAAATAAATTATCTTAAGAAAATGTAACAAAACTGGAGAACTTATACTTCTAATTTTCTTTCTTTTTAAAAAAGATTTATTTATTTATCTGAAAGTCTGAGTCACACAGAGAGAAGGAGAGGCAGAGAAAGAGAGAGCGAGCGAGAGAGCTTCTATCTGCTGGTTCACTCTCCAACTGGCTGCAACGGCCAGAGCTGCGCTGATCCGAAGCCGGGAATCAGGGTCTCCCATTTGGGTGCAAGGGCCCAAGGACTTGGGCCATCCTCCACTGCTTTCGCAGGCCATGGCAGAGAGCTGGATCTGAAGTGGAGCAGCTAGGACTTGAACCAGCGCCCATATGAGATGCCAAAACTACAGGTGGCGGCTTTACCCGCTACACCAAAACACTGGCCCCATACTTCTAATTTTCAAAACCCACTACCAAAGCCATAGTAGTGAAGACAGTACAGGGTGTGGGAGTTGTGTGGCACAGCAAGTTAAGCCGAGGACACTCACATTCTGTATCAGAGTGCTGGTTTAAGTCCCAGCTATTCCACTTCCAATCCAGCTTCCTGTTAATGTACCTAGGAGGCAGTGGAGGATGGCTCAAGTACTAGGGTCTCTGCCACCCATGTGGGATACTAGGGTGGAGTCCGAGGCTCCTGGTTTAAGTATGGCCCAGGTCCAAATGTTGTGGGCGTTTGGAGAGAAGACCAGTGGATGGAAGCTCAATCAATCCCCACCCACCCTCCCTTAACTCTGCTTTTCAGATAAACCGACCTACAGAAACGGGCCAAAACACGTGATCAAAGGATGGCACACAGGTGCCAGCATCATGCCATGAGGACAGGACAGTCATTTCTACAGACAGAGATAGGGCAGCTGGCCACCCACATGCAAATGTATGAATTTGGGTTCCCACTTCACACAAAGCCTAAAAACTAACTCAAAATTGATCAATGAACTCAATGTAAGAGATAAAGCCACACAATTCTTAGGAGAAAAGGTACAAATCTTATAACTTTAAATTAGGCAATGGTTTCTCGAATATGACATCAAAAGCACAAACAACGTAAGAAGAAAAAGGTAAATCAGACTTCACACACACACACACACAAAGACAACAAAAAAAGTCATAGAAAGGAGAAGGTATTTCCACATGATGTATCTCATAAGGGACTTCATCCAGAAAGGCAAATGATTTTTGAAATTCAATGATAAAAAGACAACCCAATTTAACAACAGGCAAAGGATTCAAACAGACATTTCTCTAAAGAAGGTGAACAAATGGCCAATAAGCACATGAAAAGATGCCATCAGGGAACTACAAGTCAAAACCACAGTGAGGCGCTGTTTCATGCCACGGGGATGGTCAGAATGAAGACACACGAGTGCCAGTGACGATGTCGAGAAACTGGACAGCCACGCTCTGCTGCCGGGAATGCAGAATGTGCACACACTCTGGAGACCACTCTGGCAGTTCCTCCAAAGGTCCCGGAAGTTCCTCTCCTTGGTAGCCACCAGGAGAATGAAAACATACACACTTGTCCACACAAAGATCTGTGTACACACGGCACACTATTCATAACAGCCACAAATTAGGAACAACCCAAATGTGCATCAACCAATCAATAGACACACACACTATGTCTCTTATGATAAAATGTCATCTGCCAAAAAAAAAAAATGATACACGCTCCATGGATGAACGTTAAAAACATCATGCAAAGTGAAAGAAGCCAGTTATAAAAGGCCACATAATGTATAATTCCATTTACATGTAATGTCCACAATGGGCAAATTCACAGAGCCAGGGGCTTGGGGGAGAAGGAAGGTGAGTGACTGCTAATGGTTAGCAGTGTTTAAATGATGTGATACAATGTCCTAAAATCTACTGTGATAGTTGTACAATTCTGAGAATGTTCACTTGAATAAATAAACAATATGGGAATTAGATGAATAAAACATACTATACCATTTCATACCTTTGCATTATGCTTGTTGCATTTTTTTAGGATTTACAAACAGAACAGGGTCAGGAGAGACAAAGAGAACTATATAAAGACGAGATATATATATTCTTTATATAGAAGAGAGAGAATCAAATTGTGTGTCCCAACTCTTCAGAGGTGCTGGATGAGGGTCTGCGGCCCCGTCTTACCTGCGTCAACGGCACACGGGTAATGATATCGGAAGGAGCAGCCTTTGTTGTAGCAGCCCAAGGTGGCGCCTGCCTCCTGGCAGTGAGAACATTTCTGAAAGGAAGGGAAGTCAGGCATGTCAGTATCTCACATTCACCCTCTTCCCCAGGCCTTCCTGGGACCCTACTAGTGAGACCTCAGCATGTGTCTGTGTGCTCAGAGGAGGTGACAGCAGGACGGGCAGGAATCCAGCAGTTACGCCTGTCAGGCCTCACAGAGGATAGCAGCTCAAGTAGAACAACACAGCAGGGCAAGAGTGGGACAACAGCCCTGCCTGCTGACGCTGGTGTCCACCCACCCACGTGCTCCGCCTGTCACTTCCTCCCTTGTTAGTGTGAGCTGTCTGTGCCTCTTCTGTTGTGGAAATCTGGAGTAGAAGAAAAGGGTAAGGTTGCAGAGTTATATATAAACTGTTCAGAATTAAAAGTGGAATTTGGTTTCTAGTTCTTATATTTATAAGATGGTTTTATTTTTATTTTCGATCTACTTACCCCAAACGCCCAATAGAAGAAGCACATTTCCCTTTTCAGACGTTATGGGCTCCTGTGTGCAAACAGTGTTTTTATTCACAAATCCTATTTTAAATGCAATAGGAAACCTGCCACAAATTTCTGGCCAAGTGAGACATTATTTGGTAGCTGAGATGCTCCCTCCTTATATGGTCAGATGTTCTTAAAGTGGGGCACGTCTGTCACCCCTGTGATGCCACTGCTCTGAGTGTGCATCCTGTCAGCTTAAGAAACACGTGTCCCATCAACAACCATCACACCAGTAAAACGCAGCACTTGTGGCTTACTGAGGAAGGAGGCAGGTTCCTCAGGTGGCCGAGGCACACCCAGATGAGGCTAACCAGAGGACAGTTGCTGGTTTCCGCTTCTACGAAAAACAAAAGTGCTCCCTCAGCAGCTACAGTCAAGCTGGCTCAGGCACCCTCATGGCGATGCTGATGGTAAACTACACCAGTGCCCATGACAGTGACACTCAGGTGCCCCTCACACATCAGGGTGGCCGGATGAAGCACCGACCTGGGTGCTCCTCACATGCTCACTCAGCTCTCTGAGGCATGAGAGGCAAAGAAGTCAGCTCAGAGGCGAGGTTCAGGCTGACTACTCGAGGCGTCCTCCAGGAACTCCGGTCTCCTCTCACAACCAAGATTCTTCTGGGCGTGATGATCAGCACACATTTACCACGTTCTGTTTACACCTTGTAAAGGAAGAAAGCTCACCTGGCCTGCACCAAACAACGACTGCGAACAGCACTGCCAGGGGCCCTAGATGTTATCTACTTTTTAAAAACAAAACAAAACAAAAACCAACAAAGATTTATCCATTTGACCTGAAAGTCAGAGTGACAGAGAAGAGAGGGAGAGACAGCTGGAGAGATCTTCCATCTGCTGGTTCACTCCTCAAATGTTCACAACAGTGACCAGGAGCCAGAAACTCCAACCGGGTCTCCCTCACGGGCAGCAGGAATCCAAGTACTTGGGTCATCATCCGCTGCCTTGTAGGCCCATCAGCAAGAAGAGGATCTGAATGAAGGAGTAGCCGAGACACAAAACATCACTCCAAAACGGAATGCCAGGTTCCACGTGGCAGCTTAGCCTGCTGCACCACGCAGCCCTCCCCAACGTGGTACAGACTTTTTGCCAGTGCCATGTGACACCGAGGCAGAGCAGTGCGAGAGGTGTCAGAGGCCAGCCTGCGGCCCCTTTCTTACTACAGGGGCACAACGTTCAGGAGAGTGGGTCTCAGGGTGGCATTAGCAATGGGCGCAGAAGAATCTGAAAAGGAAAGCCCGCAGTTAAGAAGCCTCTGCAGAGTTTTGCTCTTAAGAAAGAACAAGAGGGAGGAACAGGCCAACTTCTCACTCAGGCTCCAGCCGCAGCAGCCATTTGAAAGTGAACCAACAGCCGGGAGATCTTTCTGTCTCTCCCTCTCACTGTATGTAACTCTGCCTCTCAAATAAATAAATTCTTTTTAAAAAAAGAAAAGAAAGGTCTTCCATCTGCTGGTTTACTTCCCAGATGGCCACAACAGCCAGAGCTGGGCCAATCTGAAGCCAGGAGCCAGGAGACTCCTCCAGGTCTCCCACGTGGGTGCAGGGGCCCAAGCACTTGGGCCATCTTCTACTGAACTCCCAGGCCACAGCAGAGAGCTGGACTGGAAGTGGAACAGCTGGGACTCAAACTGGTGCCCATATGGGATGCCAGCACTTCAGGCAGCAGCTTTACCTGCTACACCACAATGCCAGCCCCTGTGGCAGCCTTCTTATCACCTCTAGGGGGCAGTCCTGGAGCAAGGCCAATCACTGAGGACAACAGACAAGACACCCACCTTGACACAGGTGAGCCTTAACCAACCCCAGGACCACCAACCTCCAGACCTGTTAACAGGAGACTGAAGGAAACACAAAGCAATCAACAAGGGGCAGGCGTTCAGCACAGTGACTAAGGTGCCACGTGGACACTAGCACTCCAAATCGGAGGGCCTGGGTTCAGGTCTCAGCTCCATGCGATCTCAGTTTTTAGCTATGTGCCATCATGGGAGGTGGCAGCTGACGGGCTCAAATACTTGGGTCCCTGCCAACCATGTGGGAAGCTCCACTCCTGGCTTCTGCCGGCCCAGCCTCTGCTGTTGTGGGCATTGGGGAGTGAATTAGAAGATGAAAGATATTTCTTTCTTTCAAATACTTAAATTTTTTAAAAAATTTTATAATTTATGGTCAAAATATTCTGATACAGAAAGGGACCTGCATTTGAGGTGCTGCTGTAGAAGTTACACATGTGGGCTTTATAATCTAATATTTCCTGGACAGTGAGTCTCCTACTTTATAGCTTTGCTTTCTTGTTCATATTTTTTTAAATTTTTTTATTTGACAGAGTTAGACAGTGAGAAAGAGAGACAGAGAGAAAGGTCTTCCTTCTGTTGGTTCACTCCCCAAATGGCCACTACGGCCAGAACTATACCGACCTGAAGCCAGGAACCAGGTGCTTCCTTCTGGTCTCCCATGTGGGGGCAGAGGCCCAAGCACTTGGCCATCCTCCACTGTCTTCCTGGGCCACAGCAGAGAGCTGGACTGGAAGAGGAGCAACTGGGTCTAGAACCTGGCTACCATATGGGATGCTGGCGCTGCAGGCGGAGGATTAACCAAGTGAGCCAAGACAGCAGCCCCTCTGGGCTCTGGACTTTGAACACACCCAGCCTTGGCTGTTGTGGCCATCTGGGAGTGAATCAGTGGGTGGAAGATCTCTCTCTCTTTCTAACTCTTACTTTCAAATAAATAAATCTAAAAAGAAAAGAGAGAGAGAGAGGGAGGGAGGGAGGGAGGGATGAAAAAAGCTGTGAGGGTTATATGCGGTAATCCAGGCTTACAACAGTGGCTGAATCAGAAGTGATCAGTAAGGGCTGGTTTTGTGGCACACTGGGTAAAGCTGCTGCTGGCAACACAGGCATCCCATGTGAGTGCCAGTTCGAGTCTCAGCTGCTCCACTTCAAATCCAGCTCCCTACTAATGGCCTGGGAAAAGCAGCGGAGGATAACCCAGTGCTTGGGCCTCTGCACCCATGTAGGAGACTCAGATGAAGCTCCTAGCTTCAGTCTGGTCCAGTCCTGGCCATTGTGGCCATCTGGGGCGTGAACAGTGGATATGGAAGATCCCTGTCTCTCCCTCTTGTTAACTCTTTCAAATAAATAAATCTCAGAAAAAAAGAAAAGGAGAGGAGAATGCAAACAAACCCCTCTGTACACGTGGCTCGAGAGGACCACGAGATACTCTCACAGCCCACGGCATGAAAGACAGCCCACAGAGCACCCTGTTCTCTCCACCAGCCGGTTTACAGAGGGGATGACAAGAAGTGAAGCTTGGATCTGCACATCGTCCCTCTCCTTTCTCAACATCTGCCTCTCTGCCCCACTGCGAGGCTTCTCAAGGCTCCCTGCGCTAACCTAGCCCACAGATCACATGTCCCACCTCTTCATGAAGGAAGCAAACCCACTACTCACCAGAAAACCGCGTCAGTACACTGCTGCCTGCTTCTATCAGTTTAAAAGCATGATTAATTTGCCATGCTGCATCCAAAGCAGGAAGCTTCTACAGAACATATTAAGGCCTTAGAAAAAGGACCTTAAGGACAATTAAGGGGGCTGGCAGTGTGGTGCAGCAGGTAAAGCCGCTGCCTGCAGCACTGGCATCCCACGTGGGTGATGGTTTGAATCCTGGCTGCTCCACTTCCAATCCTGCTCCCTGCTAATGGCCTGGGAAAAGCAGCGAAAGATGGCCTAAGTGTTTGGGCCCTGCCACTCACGTATGAGATGGAAAGAAGTTCCTGGGTCCCGGATTCAGCCTGGCCCAGGCCCAGCTGTTACAGCCATCTGTGGAGCGAACCAGCGGATGGAAGATCTCTCTGTCTCTCCCTCTCTCTGTGTAACTCTAACTTTCAGATAAGTAAATAAATCTTTAAAAAAAAAAAAGAGAGAGAAATGCACACTTTCAGTCCTCACTCCGTCAGAGCTGTAACACCTCTTTCAGGTAATTCAAATACACAATACAGTTTAAGAATCACTGGTTAAATCCAACTCCCCAGAAAACAGGGACTCAGAGGGATACAGCTGAACTCAGATTCTGGGCTTCCTGAGGTCTACCCAGTGCTTCCTCTACTGCCCACTACAAAGAGACTGACAAGTCATGAGATGTGGTGGGCAGCATTACGACCCCCTAAGGCTTTCCGTCCCAATCCTCAGAACCTGGGACCTTAGGTGGCAAAAGGAATCTCAGAGATGTGACAAAATCAAGGATACTGAGTAGAGAGAGAAGGTTTAATTGTCTAGGCAGGCCAAGCTAACGATGAGGCTTTAGGTAGATGTGGGATGGAAGCAGGGTTAGAAAGATGTTATACTGACCTTAAAAACAAAGAAACAAACAAAAATCTTATTTATTTATTTGAGCTGCAAAGACAGACAGAGAGGACCCATCCAATCGCTCACTTCTAAATGTTCACAATGATTGGGCCTGAGCCAGACCAAAGCCAGGAGCTAGGAACTCAATTTTGGTCTCCT